TTATGAAAACTCCTTAATCTCACAACACATGGACAGACTCAACCATAGACTCAACTGGGATACTGTGAGGATCCTAGATTAAGCTAAATCCAAAAACACTAGGGAATTCCTGGAAGCTTGGCATTCAGACAAATCAGCCATCAGTAGATACATAGAGATAAACCACATTTACATGCCATTCAAAAGAGACAATAAGAAAGCTAAGAAGGAAACAAAAAGACCAGAACACATCTTCTCCACCAGTCAACAACCAGGTAAGCAGGGATTAACACCAAACAAACAACCAAGCAGAAAACAATACCCTAATCAAGGACCTACCAAGGAGAAAACCACACCCCCACCAAAACTAGCAGGGCAAGCTACTGTATACGAACAGAGAGCAAACCCCACTCCCTTTTAGTACTGAAGATGTTACTTAGCCAGATAATGAAATGCCTGCAAGAAAACAACCAAGCTCAGAGAACCCCAAGGACTCCGCATGTTATTACTCTCCAATGCCATGAAAGAAGTATAAGAGAATACAGATTGATCATGCATTTCAAGAGGGGGATGCCTTTCCTTTCTATAATTATTTTCAGTGTTAAAAAAAGTCTTCCAGCTATCCTGAATTCCAGGGATGTAAAGATTTACTCACCAGTTTTTATAATAAGTTCCATTCCACAGAGCCCCCCACCCTAACCCCACACTCACTAGCACTGATGATGTTACCTAGTCAGGTAACGAAACATCTGCAAGGAAACAAGCAAGTTCAGAGAGTACCAAGGACTCCACATACTGCCTTCCTTTGTGTGGAATGCAGGTGCTTTAATGAGACACTAATTGGTGCTGCATTCCAGCTTCTCCATGCTCTGAAATAGCTTTTCAGAATTGAATGCAACACATTGCATAGCCCTGCTTGTGTACCTGCCACTTTTCTTTACTTTTCTTTTTTGGTCTTTCTGTACTATTCATGACCAGAAATGCATGACAGAGAGTTGTTTTCCAGACTAACTGAAATGCAATTTATAAAACAAACAAATGTACTTAAAAGGATGGAAAGCCACACATTCAAAATATCAAAAAAAGCTAGATTATTTTATGGAAAAAGTCACCAAAAGGACTAAAAAAAATGCTGAAAGATTAGCTTTTTCTATGAATGCCTCTGGGGCTTAGGAAAAATCTTACTTTCAGAGTTTCTTTTCCTCCTCCTTGGGCAAAACACACAATTGGAATCTTTCCACCATAATTAGAATCTGAAAGATAAATACTATGATAAATACAGATGATTTTTAACAATACTATAAAGTTCCCCTACTAGAATTAATGTAATTAACTTTATAATTAAAATCTGTCTTTCCAAGTTTATTTTCACTGAAATAAGCATCAGTGTACAGATCAGCCTTTCTTATGACCCCCAACTACATCTAATTGTGTGTTCGTGTGTGTGTGTGTGTGACTGGATAGCGTAGTGGTTAGAGCACCGCCCTTTGACATGGGAGACTGGGGTTCAAATCTGGTCTGGTGCCTACCTTACCAATAGGGGTCCTTGGGCAAAGACCCCCTAACGCTTCTGCCTACCTCAAATATGAGAGTGACATGAACTAAGAGAGTCATGCTGGCTTGGACATCGCCTGGATTAACAAGGTCTGTGCCAGATGTTGGGGAGCCAGGACAATCTGACGATAAGTGGGCTACTGGAACAAACCATACATGGATGAGACAAGAGAACCTGGAATTGATGGAATGCTACTACAGCAGCAGACCTATTGAGAGGGGATATATGAAACGTATGAGGGAATTATGGATGGACAGAAGACCTACATTCACACTAGCTGAGAAACAGCTAGTTACCCAATGGTTCAACATAGTAAAGAGGAAGCTGCTCTCACAACTTGAGATAGACCAACTATACATCAAGAAGACCCGGAAGAACAACTGTATATGCAGCTAACACCTGAAGCTGGAATGTCACTGCCACCCCCTCCATTACAAAGCACAGCAGCTGATATGAGGTACAAGATCATGGATAAACTAGCTACAGTCAATCCTTGAGACCAATTATCAAGGCTCAGTGGATGGTAGTATGTTAGAAGATAGTATGTTAGAAGATGCCAACCGAGCCCTCATGACAATCCCTACTACCACTATAACTCAAACCAATGAACTGGTATATGCTATAGCTGCTGTAATCCTGGAGATGTTTGGCTACACAATCAAGAAGAAAAGCAGTACATATTCCCCTTGGAAAATGAGGTTGGAGGCTAAGATCAAGCAACTCAGAGAGAAGTTAGTCAGCTGCTGGAACTACAGAGAGGTATGGAGATTAAGGATAAAACTCAGCTACTGAAAAAATACAAGGGCCTGACATCATCTGAAGCCCTAGAGAGTGCTAAACAAAGGCTCACAGCACTGGCTGCCAAGCTAAGGAGATACACTAGAGAAAAAGAGGCCAAGAAGATAAATGCCCTGTTCTCCGAAGAACCATCCAAGGTGTACTCCCAACTGCAGTGCAACAACACAGTACTCCCAACTGCAGTGCACCAATAGAGAAACTGAACAGTACTGGAAGAACTTATGGGAGAAAGAGAAGATACATAATACCAGTGCAAAGTGGCTGCAGGACCTGAGAGCAGACCACAGCAATCTCCCAGAACAGGAACCAGTCATCATCACAATAACAGATATCCAACAGTGGGTCAAGAACATGAAGACCTAAACAGCACCTGGCCTGGACACCTATTGGCTAAAGAAACTAACAGCAGTGCATGAACACCAAGCAGGACAGATGAACCAGTTGCTAGCAGCAGGCTCCCACCCAAACTGGCTAACACAAGGTAGAACAGTGCTGATCATGAAAGACCCCCACAAGGAAACAG